TCCCTCCTCCTCCTCCTCTCCACATATCTCTCCTCCTTCTAGCACTGATGATGTTCCCTAGTTGGGCCATGAAACATCTGCAATAAAACCAGCAAGTTCAGAGAGCACCAAGGACCCCACAATTCACCACAGTCATGCTCCTCCTCCTCCTCCTCCTCCTCCTCCTCCTCCTCCTGCTCTTCCTCCTCCTCCTCCTCCTCCTCCTCCACCACCACCACCTCCACCTCCACCTCCTCCTCCCTGTAAACCCCATTCACTTTTAGCACTGATGATGTTCCCTAGTTGGGTCATGAAACGTCTGCAAGGAAACAGCCAAGCTCAGAGAGCACCAAGGACCCCACAATTGTCCCCCCCCTCCTCCTCCTCCTCCTCTCCACATATCCCTCCTCCTTCTAGCCCTGATGATGTTCCCTAGTTGGGCCATGAAACATCTGCAAGAAAACCACCAAGCTCAGAGAGCACCAAGGACCCCAAAGTCGTCCTCCTCCTCCTCCTCCCTCTCTCCGCAAACCCCACTCCCTCCTGGCACTGATGACGTTGCCTAGTTGGGCCATGAAACGTCTGCAAGAAAACAACCCGGCTCAGAGAGCACCAAGGACCTCACAGTCATCCTCCACCTCCTGTTCCTCCTCCTCCTCCTCCTCCTCCTGAACCTCCCTCCCTTCTAGCACTGAGGATATTACCTAATTTGGTTCATGGAACGTCTGCAAGAAAACCACCCAGCTCAGAGAGCCCCCCAAGGACCCCCACAGAGACGAATTCAGCCCTTCAACGCCAGGAAAAGTTGCAGACCACAAAGCCCAGCCGGCGCGTGCCCTCCAACCTCCAACCCCCCCCCCCAGGAAGACCCCCCCACCTCCGTACCTGCAAGGTTTCCAGGCCCTCTTCCTTCTCCAGCTCCTGCGTGGTGGTCCGTAACAACTCGGAGGCCTTTTTGAGACCATCGACAAAATGATGCGCCTTCTAGAAGAAGAGACGGCCAAAGACTTTTTGTCACAATGGAGGTTGTGTCGAGGGTATTATTCATGAACAGAGCTTGGTTAACAAGGTCAGCCGATGAGAGCCGAGTTAGGGCTGAAACGTCAAGAGGCAATCCGGGCGTTGCTGATCTCTGTCCTGTGCTCAGCTCTAAAGTGAAAGAGAAACTGACTTGCTCGCTTGCCTGCTGAACGGATGCCTGTTCCTGAGCTCCTGGGTTGCTTGTTCTGCTCTGAACCTGTAACCCAGGGGTGTCCAACCTTGGCCACTTTAAGACTTGTGGACTTCAACTCCCAGAATTCCTCAGGAACTCTGGGAGTTGAAGTCCACAAGTCTTAAAGTGGCCAAGGTTGGACACCCCTGCTGTAACCTGTCTGCTTCTGTTTGAGTTTGCTCCATGCTGTAAGAAATCTACAACTGGTATTGTAAAATTTACTTTATATGTTTATAAAGAAGCTAAATGAAGCCTCGGCCCTCTGTCTTTACTTTTCTGTCGCTGAATATACACTGCGACACTCTGAACAGGAAGGAAGGAAGGAAGGAAGGAAGGAAGGAAGGAAGGGAGGGAGGGGGGAAGGAAGGAAGGAGGGAGGGAGGGAGGGAGGGAGGGAAGGAAGGAAGGAAGGAAGGAAGGAAGGAAGGAAGGAAGGAAGGATGAACAGGATGCAGGCCTATAGATCGGTTGGCTGGTGGCCAGGTGGCATCTGGACAAAGCGAGGAGTCGCTACGGAGGACAATCAGGATGATACAACTACGTGGTCCCGATTAAAGATGGGGAGATGACCGGAGGCCTCTGGGCCACAGACTCTCCTACACAGAGATGCCAATCTCCAAGCAACTCCTTGCATGTCTCCTCCGGACACAACGACTTGCATGCAGCTACACCTGATTTTTCCATCTGCTACAAGCTCTTCCTCACCCAAAGCCTTCAGGCAGAGCATTCTGCATTGGAGGTGGGTTTGGCCTGGTGGTTAAGGCAGTAGGCTAGGAAGTGGGACACGGTGAGTTCTAGTCCCGCCTTAGGCATGAAAACCAACTAGGTGACTTTGGGCCAATCATCTGGATAATGTGAGTTCTAGTCCCACCTTAGGCATGGAAGCCAACTGGATAACTGGGCCGATCACCAGGAGACGGCGAGTTCTAGTCCCACTTTAGTCATAAAAGCTGGGTGATTTGGGGAATCACCAGGAAAAGCCCACTGGGTGACTTTAGGCCCAATCACCAGGAGAGAGTGAGTTCTAGTCCTGCCTTAGACAGGCAGGACACTGGATGACTTCGGACCAGTCCCTTTCTCTCTGCCCAACCCACTTCACAAGGTTGTTTTTGTGGGGGAAAATAGAAGGACGAAAATATGTCGGATATGTTTACCCCCTTGAATTATTTGTAAAAATAATAAAGGCGGGATACAAAAACCAACAGAGAATTAAATTGTGTTTGAAGGCAAGGACGTCTGAGCCATGGGACAAGGTGGCTGTGGGGGAGGCCTGGAATTTCGAGGCTGAAAGCCACAAAAAGGACTACAATCTTTGAGATAAATCAAACAAGGCAATTGAACAGGAGGTGTCTTCAGGTCCCAAAAGCCAAGACGGTGAGAGGAAAACCCCACCTGATTTTAATCCATGTGGCACACCTTGAAAATGAGTACCTGTTCTGACCTAGACCTTCCCAAGATCATGAAGCCGATTCCTTATCCCGATAAAACCCCTTTTATTGAGGTTCAAGGGAATTCCTCTTCAGCAAAGTCCCGGCAAACAGTCCTCCATGAGATTTCACAACTACAGACCTTGATTGGGCTGGGAGAGTTGCCAGGTCGATAGCTTCCAAACGCCACGCTGTAGCAGCAATCAGGAACAGGTCTTCACCCTCATGAATTGAACTAATTGTCTCTTGCAAACCCCACTCCCCCTTTCGCTCCTCTTTATTCCCTATGGGAGGGGCCATTCACCATCCACCTGAGCCTTTACTCCCAAGTCGACCCTTGTTCCTTAGTTATTCCCTTCTCCTGGCAGCTCTGTGCATGAGCACAGTGGGAACAGGCTCCAGCTGTTCTTCTTCCCTACAGATCTCCGACTCCAAAGACAGCTGATAACTGTCGGACGGCCCCGGCTTCATCTCTGCCTCCGATGCAGAACCCTCATCAGAACCTCCCCCAGACTCCAGGACTGGCCCACGTTCCTCCCCAACCTCCTCACTGTCTGAGTTTGCGGCCGGTTCCACTGGCGGACCACAACAATATCAAGGTAGAATCTCAATCACACCGTGCCAGCTGCCATCTTGACTTTTTTTAGACTACCTCACATGGACGCTTCTTGGTGTCAAAACCCAAGGAGAAATGTTTGCCCCCGCTGAGACCCCTCCCCAAATGTAGAAAAGGCAGGAGAAGAGGATACCTGGAAGAACTGGACCCATTCCCTGTGGTTGTAGGGGAAGTGACCATCGAAGGCCTGGGTCAGCTGGCTATTGTCCACGTGGCGGGTCAAAGCTTTCGGAGAAGTCACGGTCTCCACCTGCAGGCAAGACATGGAGGGATGGTCAACCTCAGCTTGGAGAAACAGTTACACAGCTCAACCCACCTCGCAAATGTCAGCATTCCTGTTCTGACCCAAACCTGGTTCCAAGGAAACAAACACAAAATGGAGGTGACAGCAAAATCTTTTAATGATTCTTTACGAATTCTGTTCCTTCCCGGTTAAAAGGCTGTTTCAAAGTAAGAAATAAGACAGAGCCTTGCCAAGGTGGTGCAAGGCTGCCAAGAACAACAGATAAAGTTGCCAAGAAATATCTCAAATACAAAAGGTCTCCAAACACCAGCCAAGAGAGTCCAAGCTTCCACAAGGCTTGAGTGCAAAAACGTCGTTGCTTCCTGCAAAGAACTCCGGTTTCTCAGCTGGCTTTTATCTCTTAAGGGAGGGGCCATTACCTTGAAGCCTTACTCCTGAGTCGCCCGTGCTGCTGCAGCTGCTCTTCCTTTCGAGCAGCCCTGCGCACACACGCACTGAGCACAGGCTCCTCGGGGGACTCTTCCTCACTGCTGCCAGCCTCCACAACCTCCGAAAGCAGCACTCCACTCCCTGGTGGTCCTGGCCCCATCCCTGCGTCCCACGCAGGCCCCTCCTCCGAGTCCTCGCCCTCCGAGGCCTCAGCCATCCGCACCTGCTGCCGGCAAACCACAACAGTTCCAACTCACCAAACTCCCAAGCCATAAACTCCGAGACAGGCATTTCCTCAAAGTCCCATTTTGTAGAGTTGTCCTATTGGGACATTCTGGGAAAACCCGAATCGGAGAGTTCCGGGTCTTCCCTTCCCAAAAGAGAAATCAAAGATCCACATCCCCTGCACCCACCAGTCCATCTCATGGCCCCTCAAATCTTCGTTCCCCCACTGGAGACATCCCCCCTCCAGCCACTCCCCACCCGGTGCAGGGCAACCTGTCCTTGACTCTGACTCTAAACCTTTGCAGCATTTATGTTTTATTGAACTATTGAATTTTTACCCTTTGAACACTGTATATACGTAACTCAAGGCGGCAGATATACCCAACATTGTTCCCTCCTCTTCTTTTCCCAGTAACAACAACCCGGCTGTCAGCCTTGGAAGGCATTTTTTACTTGGAAGCTTTGAGGCTGTCTAACCTAAGCAGGGGGTTGGACTAGAAGACCTCCAAGGTCCCTTCCAACTCTGTTATTCTATTCTATTCTATTCTTTATTCCATTATCTATGCTATGCTATGCTATTCTATTCTTGTATTTCATTTCTATTCTATTCTATTCTATTCTATTCTATTCTATTCTATTCTATTCTATTCTATTCTATTCTACTCTACTCTATTCTATTCTTTATTCCATTATCTATGCTATGCTATTCTATTCCTGTATTTCTATTCTATTCTATTCTATTCTATTCTTTATTCCATTATCTATACTATGCTGTGCTATTCTATTCCTGTATTTCTGTAGGATTCTATTCTATTCTATTCTATTCTATTCTATTCTATTCTATTCTATTCTATTCTACTCTACTCTACACTACTCTACTCTATTCCTATTATCTATTCTATTCTATTCCTATTATCTGTTCTATTCTATTCTATTCTATTCTTTCTATTCTATTCTATTCTATTCTATTCTATTCTATTCTATTCTATTCTATTCTATTCTATTCTATTCTATTCTATTCCTATTATTTATTGTCTATTATCTATTATCTATTCCATTCTATTTGAATGGCTGTAACCTGAGGTCCACCTGAAATTCCTTCCGCTCGCAGAACGGCTGGCACGGAGTCCAGACAACCCACTTTCCAAAGCAAAGCCCATGTGCGGCTGCTTTCTGAACCCCTGAATTTCAGGCCAACTGATCCTTGGGGGACCCCTTCTAGCCCCACTTCTTCCGAAACAGGCTGGGAGGCGAGGGGTGGGCTTCTGACCCCCCGCTTTCCCACTTGTCATCCATCAGGCACCCTAGAAGGAGCTCCCGCATCCCAACCCATCCCGGGCGAGGGAATCTTTTAATCACGCTGGGCAGCTGCAGTTTATCAAAGCCATTAATATTTCACCTTGCCTTAATTAAAGCCAGCGGTGTTAATGAAGGAACCGACCCCTTTCAAGGCTGAGTTATTATTTTAATCTCCGTGCGCCGGAGGTGAGTTGAAGTGGCTGACGCAGCCAGCAGGGTCCCGAAGTCTATTAAGGCTGCTCCAGACCGACAGGGTTGGCCTGAATTAATGGCTGGGGAAAGAATGAGAGACAGGCGGGATCGGAACTCGGTCCCCACAGTTCCGCTTCCGAGGGAGAATAACAGAATAAATCCCATTTATTCTGCAAGAAAGAGTTTTCGTGCCAGCTTGTCCCACTCAGGGGGTAACGGTGTTTTTCAAGGATTCCTAATAACAGAATAACAGAGCAGGAAAGGGACCTTGAAGGTCTTCTAGTCCAACCCCTTGCTCAAGCAGGACTCTCTCTAGTCCAGTGATCACCAACTGGTGGGCCGCAAGAAAATTTTGGTGGGCCGCAGAGAAATCTCACTACCAGAGCACCCCTCAAAGCAATTAATCCAGGCTGCGCAGAAACACAAGGCTGCTAAATTGCTATTTTTCCGACCATCATCTGTTCTGCTGTGCCGGGAGATTTGGATTAGCTAGGAAGCAGGAAATGGTTGGATTTCTTGCTTTCTAGCTAGTCTTTAGATCTTTGGCTCTGTTTTTAAGTACAGCCGAACCTCCCTTAGGACTGAAGCTTCTCTTATTCTATTATTCAGTGCAGACTCACGGCAAGCAAATTTTATGGGACAGACTGAGCTAGCCGATGGCAGATAGATAGATCACTGAATGGTTCTGTGAGCAACTCAATTTGCCTGCCTGCCTTGTCTGATTTTGGGTAAAAGTTGCTCTTTTTTATAAAATAATTCAATATTTATATCAATATTTATAATATTTACATACAAGCCATGCCCAGCCAGACACATGACCACCAAGCCACACCCACAATAGGCCATGCCCACAGAACCAGTTGGTGGTCCCTGGGATTTAAAATTATGACTTTGGTGGTCCCTGAGGTCCAAAAGGTTGGCGACCCCTGCTCTAGTCTATACCATTTCAGACAAATGGCTTGTCCAGTCTCTTCTTCTTAGGGAACAAGTTTTTTAATAGTTTCAATTCCAGGGTACCTTATTCGTTGCTTTTGCTGTTTGACCCGGTCAACCAAAACTTTCCTTTCTTATCTTCCTCCTGCACATTCTTTTCCGGTCGAGTTCTTCTTTATGGTGGCCATTTCTGACCACCGCTGCAACCGCCTTCGGGAAAGGGAGTAATGGCCAGCTGGGGAAGAGAGATGCGGCTCTCCTCAACCCTGCAGGCAGTCTCCCCTCTCTTCACCACCTCTACGGGGTGGCTTAACCCCAAAACCAGCCGGCTCGGGGCACTCCAGCGGCGAGCACGGATCGAAACCTTGCAGAGACGAGGTTTCGGTCTGTCACTGAAGAAGCTCAAACCGGAAGCCCGGCTTGTCCAGTCTCTTCTTAAAAGCCTCCAGTGATGGAGCATCCATAACTTCTGGTGGCAAGCCATTCCACTGGCGAATTGTCCTCGCTGTTAGAAAGTTTCTCCTTAATTCCAGGTTGCTTCTCTCCTTGAATACTTTCCATCCATTGTTTCTTGTCTGCTTTCTGATGTTTTTGGAAATAAATTGACCCCTTCTCCTTTGTGGTAGCCCCTCAAATATTGGAAGGCTGCTCTCCTGTCTCCCCTGGTCCTTCTCTTCTTCCCTAGACTAGCCAGGCCCGGTTCCTGCAACCGTTCATCATATGTTTTAGCCTCCAGTCCCCTCATCATCCTGGTTGCTCTTCTCTGCACTCTTTCTAGAGTCTCCACATCCTTTTTATAGTGTGGTGATCAAAACTGGATGCAGGACTCTAGGTGTGGCCTTACTAAGGCTTTATAGAGTAATATTAGTACCTCCCTTGATCTCGATTGTATCCCTCTGCTAATGCAAGTTAAGATGTCCGATCTCTTCTTGAAAACGTCTGGAGGCAGGTTGTTCCGTCAATTAATTGTTCTCATTGTCAGGAAATTCCTCCTTAATTCCAGGTTGCTTCTCTCCTTGATTGGTTTTGATCCGTTGCTTCTTATCCTGCCCTCAGCCGTTTTGGAGAATAGGTGGAGCCCCAATTCTTAAAATAAAATTAAAAAAAAAACCCTCCAGCACCCACAACTGACATTGTTCTGGGGAATTCTGGGACTTGAATTCTAGACATCTTCAAGGGACCAAAGTTGAGAATCGTTGAGTTTATGCTGCTACCTAGCGGATGCCCAAAAAAACAAGGCACCAAATTCTACCTTTTCATGCGAAAGAATAATCCATTTAATTATATTTGATTGGGAAGGGCTCCTTTGATCTCGATTGTATCCCTCTGTTAATGCAAGTTGAGATGTCCATTAAATTGATCCGTTATACGTTAATGAAAATTGAATAAATAGACAACGCAGCTTGACTCTTCAGCCTGTTGGTTAAAGGCAGAGATGGGATTCTACCAGTTCGCACCTATTTGCTAGAACCAGTTGTTAACCTTCTAAGCAGTTCAGAGAACCGGTTGTTGGAAGAAATTACTGGCCTAATCCTGTAAGGAAGGCAGGAAGGAAACATTCTGGTGTTGCTTACAGAAACTGCCTCTCCGTTAACCCTTATTACATACTTGGCAGGACTAAACTTCCTGTCTCTGGAACTTCTCTGGAGTTTTTTCCCCTCCTTTGCTGGTACTTTGCTAGTGTGGAGTGACCATTCAAAGTTACAATGGCACTGAAAAAAGTGACTTATGACCCTTTTTCACACTTACGACTGTTGCAGCATCCCCACAGTCACAAGAGGCCAGGCGAGGAGATGCGTGCCTCGATGTGAGTGATGTTGAGTTGGCCACGCCCAGCCAATAACATGGCCACCAAGCCACGCCCACCAACTAAGCCACGCCCACAGAAACCGGTTGTTAAAAAAATGAATCCCACCCCTGGTTAAAGGCCACCCCTGGTCCTGCCGTGGGGGGGGGGGGGCAAAGTTTAGCCTTAACCTAATAATTTGATGACCTGCAACCTGGTTAGAAATGAGCCTGTCACAGTTTTTGAAAAATGGCTTAATTGTTGCTTGTTCAGGTAGAACTTCACACTTCTCTGCCTCCATCCATCATTCTGGACAACTTGGTTTCCCATAACGGCTGCCATCTTGGGAAATGTACAGCAGTCCTCAAGTTACGACCGTAACTCAGCCTGTCCAGGATGGTCATAAATCCCAACCGCCATAAAACAGGTCGGTCACATGACCGACACGGTTTTTTCACAATGTGTTTTGCTGGCGTTGTGAAGCGACCGCGGTGGTCATAAGCGTGCACTCTATAGTCGTTAAAGAGGACACCGCGGTCGTTAAATAAAGCCGTTTTTCATTCTGGTGCAGTTTGGCGAAAAAACCCCAGGAGAACGTGATGGTTTTGGGCAAAAATCTCATAAAATGCCGTCATGGGACCACAGGCCGCTGCAAACGGCTGTAAAGGTGTTCTGTAAATTTGGTAAAATTTAATGACTAGGTAACCTTTAACAAGCCCTGCGGAATGTGTGTTCGCATGACTGTGTGGGTTGGACCAACTTTCAGACCTTTGAGTCTAGGCAAGTCCCCCTTTTTCAGATAGGTCGTAACTTCAAAAGCTTGCTTAGCAACCGGTCGTAAGTCACGGATCACTTAGGGCTGTGAGCCCTCCACTGGCCACATGAGCCGTCACCCCAGTTCCTCTCTGCCGGGGACGGTGCATGCATGCACCAGGAGAGGCACATGCGTGCATGGGGCGGGGCACATCACAGTTTGTCAGAATACAGTTGGAAGGGACCTTGGAGGTCTTCTAGTCCAACCCACGGCACAAGCCTATGCCATTTCAGACAAATGGCTGTCCATTTTTTTTCCCTAAAAACCTCCGTTGTCTGAGTACCTACAACTTCTGGTGGAAAGTAGTTCCCCTGATTAATTGTTCTAACTGTCAGATAATTCCTGTTTCTCTCCTTGATTAGTTTCCATCCGCCGCTACCTGTCCTGCCTTTCAGGTGCTTTGGAGAATACCTTGACTCCCTTCCTCCCTTCAGATATTGGAACCCTGCTATCATGTCACTCCTAGTCCTTCTTTTCATCAAACTAGACGTACTCCATCTGCAAAAGTTCTTCTATATATTTCTGTCTCCAGATCCTTAATTGTATTAGTTGCTGTTTTCCTTGGCGCTTTTTCCAAAAGTCCCAACATCTATTTTTTTGTGTGTGGGGGGTGTGTGTGTGCCCAAAACTGGATGTAGTATTCCAGGTGTAGCCTTTCTAAAGCTTTATAAAGCGGTATTAATCAGTGGTGGGATTCAACCGGTGGTAACAACTGGTTCGGTGAGCCCATTTTCAGCTTTAAAACTTACCTTCTATCGCAGGGGTCTCCAACCTTGGACACTTTAAGACTGACGGACTTCAACTCCCAGGATTCCTCAGCCAGCCACACAGCAACAGGAAGTCTAAAGCAGCGTTGCTGGCTGGGGAATTCTGGGAGTTGAAGTCCACCAGTAGCCAAGGTTGGAGAGCCCTCTTCTACTGTACAACAGCTGATTGGCGCAATCCGCTGAGCTGCAAAACACGGCAATACAGGACAGACTAGGGCAGGGGCAGGTGGACGGGGCCAAATGATCACCTGAACAACCGGGTCGCCTGAACCGGTCTGAACCGGCCCGAATCCCAGCCGTGGCCTGGCACACAGAGGAAAATCCAGGTTAAGCCTCATAACACCCCCCACTTGCTCCCAGCCTATGGCCCTGCGGTTGTTTTGGGATGGAGGACATTTGGGCGGTACAACATCACAAGGAGACCCAGGTTCAGGCGGAGGAGTGGATGGTCAGAGCTTACCTGTAAGCCGTGGAACTTCTCCACCTGAGAGGCGGCCTCTTTCTCCGCCACCAGCAGGAGAACCTGGATGGCTCCAGGAAAAGTTTTCTGCAAGGAAGTGGAGACACCAGTGACTTCCCGTGGCTTCCTCTGCTTGCTGTGACTGTGTGTGTGTGTGTGTGTGTGTGTGCCTTTAGCACCTCCCGATCTGACGCTCTTCTCTTCTCCGCCCTCCTCAAATTAGAATAGAATAGAATGGCAGGTAAAATATAGAGAATAGAATAGAATTATGGAATGGAATGGAATGGATTAGAATAGAATAGAATAGAATAGAATAGAATAGAATAGAATGGAATGGAATGGAATGGAATGGAATGGAATGGAATGGAATGGAATGGAA